TGAGTGCCTATTTATTTTCTGTCGGTCTATATGGATTGATCACAAGTCGAAATATGGTTAGGGCTCTTATGTGTCTTGAACTTACGATATGCGCGGAAACTGAGATAATTACCTTTGAGAAAACCCGGTATTATTAAAAAAATAGAGGAAGCAGAACCAAGTCAAGATGAGACGGATCAATCTCTTTACCAGGAACGAAGAGCTTTCCCCCTTTTTCGCCCTCTTTGGCCTTACATCCTAGGCTTCCCGTTCCATCCTAGGCTTCCCGTTTCGGCTACCACAATAGTATACACGGAATAGTGCACCTACACGCCTTCATCGACGTTGTTTGTCAACTGGAAGGCCAAGAACTAACTATCGAGACTTTGGACTATCCGGACAGATACTTCGTGAAATGGTTCATGCATGTTTGTTGCCATATTTTATTAAGTTTTATTTATATAACATAGTGGATTTTAAACGTCAAATCCTAGGGATCAACTCTGGACAGGCGGTGGAAACCAAAAAAGGGAATTGATCTATGGTCGATTTCATAAGAATTTATAGTTATATTGCTCCATCCCCGCAGGGGCAGAGAACCCGTTGGCGGAACGCTCCCCTACCGATGTATTTTTACATCCCACAGCTTCGACATATCGTTTTGCCCCGTTCATCTTCGGCAAACATTGGTGAGAATCCAATGCCCCGAAAACCTAAGGGTTCCTCTGCAAGGTTCGTCCATGGAGGGTGAGTCAGGGCCAAAGATCAGGCCGAAAGGCGTAGTCGATGGACAACATCTGTAGGTTATATATTTACTTATGCGACTTTCTTGATTGCCTCTACATCAGGCAAATTTGGTTAGGAGTCGTGTGAGATGAAAGTCTCATGCATGGTTTTAGCAGCAAAAGGAGGGAAACGAATACTCAATTTAAAGTGAGTTAACTTTCAAAAGTTTTAAGAAGTCTTATGTTGACGATTATAATTTTTTTGTAAAATTTAATAGAATTCGGGTTTTATTGTAAAAGTAATAATTTATTACAATTAAATCACTGATAGTACGTAAATGTAACTCGAATTCGTGATAACTAATATACTATAAGTCATCAGAATGATAATATTATATAGTATAACAAGCCTTATAAGGAGCTCTAGGAAAGATAGTATTAAAGATCTTATCGAAAACTTACAGCAACTTCTAATGATGATCTATAAATATAGGAGTTCTTCTTAGTTTCAGATATCAGGTAACCCCGTCATATATTTAATCCCGCCCAGATATGTTTTCTTCCAAATCGTCTACACTAACAATCCATCCTTCCCCCCCAAAGGGTGATTTTAGTAAATAACCAAATATGATACTTAGGCTAAGGGTCAAGTTGGTGATTTTTCTTACATCTCCTCCTGGGGGTAAATCATACCCATAAGAATGATATTTTCAATCGTCTAAAAATTAGGCGTTGAATGAATAAACGGATGAAGTCAATAAAAAATCGAAGAATTCTTGAATCACCATTTAGCGGGGCTACTAGGACTTGGGTCTCTCTCTTGGGCGGGGCATCAAGTACATGTATCTTTACCGATTAAAAAGTTTTCTTTTAGTTCAAAACGATCAATATGTAGAATCAKAACAAGTGATTGCTGAGATTCGCGCGAGAACAAATTTTTTAAATTGGATCAATACTTCCAATTGATATCTCTATTTGATAGGGCTTCTTCTTATACCTATGAATTCCATTGGAATTAGTTTTAATAGTCTTTTTTTTATAGATATAGAAAAAAAGAAAGAGTGAGGCCTATTTGGGTCGTGTTATAAACGCCCTGGCTAAACCTATTGATGGTAGAGGTGAAATTTCATCTTCTGAATATAAGTTATAGCTTTATCGAGATCAGAAGCAAATTGTGCAAAAGCTTCTAATTCTGCATCAAAACTACTTTGGTATCTCTTTTTCGGTTTCTCTCGAGAAAGTCTTTGTGAATCCATACAACTTTAGTCCGTCATTGCTTCTTCTCCGGGAAAAGATGTTCACGACCCGTGGGCCTTCTACCAGAAATTCAATGTGTAATCTCAGCATTCAATGTGTATTCCTGAATAATCTCATTTTTCATGACACATTCAAGGAAAAATATAAATTTTCGGGATTTTTATTCAAGGGTGGATATATAGGAATCAAAATCTGCCGAATTACTCATGTTATGATCTTCTACATCCTAGGTCTTCCCGTTCCATCATCTGGCTTGGATTTCACTTGACTGTCTACGGTTCCATTGCGTGTGCTCGAGCTCGGGGTTCTGACCGCGTGCCTGTTGAAGAATGAGTCGGCGACTCATAGGCAGTGGCTTGGTTAAGGGAACCCATGCGAAATTATAGTAGAAAGGTATCGTCTTTTATTCGAAACATCTAGTGTTGATGGAACATGATAAAACATTCATATTGCTCTCTGACAAAAATAGAACTTTAAACAATTCCTACTTCTGCAGCTATAGGTTTGCATTTTTACCCAATATGGGAAGCAACATCCATTGTGGAGATTTTCATCTCATACGGCTCCTCCCTTATGTGCATAATGAGAAATTATAAAGAAGATGAAAATCTTCTCACTGCATCCAATTTCTAAAAAAATCCCAAATGCGAGGGTGAGCTAACTCCAAAAACCCGTCCTCAATTCTTTTCTATTTGTTATTTTTTGATTACTATTACCAAATCAAATGACTGGACCAAAGACATATATAGCCGCTAAACTATAAGATAAGTAAGCCTCTCCAGACCATAAAAGTGCGCGCCAGCCCTAGGTGGCGAAGAGCCGACATCGAGGTGCCCAACCTTCCCGTCGATGTAAGTTCTTGGGGATACAATCCTCTTCCCGCCGAGCCCCCTTTCTCCTCGGTCAAAAGGAAATGAAAGATGAAACATAAATCATGGATCAACTAAGCCCTCTCGGAGATTGGATCTAGCCGTAAGAAAGCAAGAAGACGGCCGGACGAGGTATTTTTGCACGTGAAAGATTTGATATAGTTAGCCGTCATAGTGTAGTGCTTCTATCCTTCACCTCTTTGCCTTTTACCAATAAAAATTCCCGCTGCTACGAGTATAAAGGCCGAAATAGGAGTCGAAAATACTTGACAAAAATAAAAAATATGAAGAAAAATACGTTTGTTATTTATTTTTCGTATATTTTCACTCACATTGTGATTATGCATGGATCATGACGAATTCTTCAGAAAAAAATTATGTCTTACATCGTTGAATGGGCCTATTCGAGAACAATTGGATGATGACAAAATTATCAAAGATTCAGATAGTGTAATTGTTTAATGTATATATTAATAGAAATTCAACAATCATATTAAATCCAAAAAATAAAAGGATATCGGGTTTATCAAGTTCAAATAATATCAACCCAATACCTATGGTTTAAAAAATTTACAACTCAATTAGACGTCAAGTTATTTCAAATTAAGTTATTTTGTATTAGGTTGAATTGAATTGATCGAGCTGATTGGGTTTTGAGGGCCTTGATTTTAACAATAAAAATAATACTAGAAGGGTACTCGTATAATGCAACGATATACATCTTCATTTTAATATTTTGTTTTATTTTTTTTTGTCTCTGTTAATATAATACAGTTTATGTCGTTTTGAGAAATATATTGTTTTTACTTTTGAATGAAAATAAATTTAAAAATATCATAAAATTTTGAAAAAATATATCTATATTAATAAAAAATTATCTTTTTTCATACGATTTCTTTAATTCAACTTTTTATTATAATTTAATTTAAGTCTAATAACGAAGTAATTTATTTTTGACTTAACAATATAATTTTTATAAATATAATAATTCTGTTAGAACTCAATGATTACCCTAATTATATTTTAGAATTTTTTTATTTAAAATGAGATGATCTTATATTTGATTATGTTTATAATGTATTTGATTATGTTTATTTGCAGTTAGTTATACGAATTAAAAAATGWAGCTTTAATAAGTTATATYTACGCACAATTTACTTGTAATATTAAATTTTAAGTAATATGCATCGATAAACAATATTTCATGCATGGTTTTTAAGAGTTTTTGTCAAATGCTTTATAGTATTGAGTCTAATAACAAAGTAATTTATTTTTGACTTAACAATATAATTTTTATAAAGATAATAATTATGTTAGAACTCAATGATTATTATAATTATATTTTAGATTTTTTATTTAAAATGAGATGTTTATCTTATATTTGATTATGTTTATCCTGTATTTGATTATGTTTATTTGTAGTTAGTTATATGAATTAAAAGATATAGCTTTAATAAGTTGTATATACGCACAATTTACTTGTAATCTTGAATTTTAAGTAATATGCATTGATAAACAGTATTTCATGCATAAAGAATGTTTTTAAGAGTTTTTGTCAAATGCTCTATAGTATTATTTGATTATGTTTATCCTGTATTTGATTATGTTTATTTGCAGTTAGTTATACGAATTAAAAAATATAGCTTTAATAAGTTGTATCTACGCACAATTTACTTGTAATCTTAAATTTTAAGTAATATGCATTGATAAACAGTACTTCATGCATAAAAAATGGTTTTTTTTAAGAGTTTTTGTCAAATGATTTATAGTACTGAGTCTAATAACGATGTAATTTATTTTTGACTTAACAATATAATTTTTATAAAGATAATAATTCTGTTAGAACTCAATGATTATCCTAATTATATTTTAGATTTTTTTATTTAAAATAAGATGTTCATCTTATGTTTATCATGTATTTGATTATGTTTATTTGCAGTTAGTTATACGAATTCAAAAATATAGCTTTAATAAATTGTATTTATGTATAATTTACTTATAATTTTAAATTTTAAATATATATTAATAAACAATATTTCATACATAAGGAATGATTTTTAAAAGTTTTTGTTAAATGATTTATAATATTATACTTTTGTTTTTAAGAAGAAATTGTAGCAACACAAAACCCGCGTCTGGCGCCCACCATAACTATCAGCGGCTTCTTCTCCCTCCCAAAAACCCCTAACCCCTTTTTCCGCCATTGAAGCTCCTTAAACCCCAACGGCCGCAATGAACGCCATTTTTACTCCTACATAGTTCTCAGAGATGCTTCTTAGGCATCGCTCTTCTCTCCACGGTCTCTTCTTCTCCAACGCCGTCTGTCCTATTATGGGTTCCAACTACTTCCTCCACTTCAAAACTACACCCTCTTCATTAAACAACAAATCCAATATACACAAATTCATTTCATCTGGTTTGCCCTCTAATTCAGTACCCAAATTGGTTTCTTTATCTCTTAAACCCTCTGACTTATCTTTTTGTTCTCATGCCAGTATCTCCAGACCAGGTAAAGTTATCACTCCGTTAAACAACCCAACTTTATTTCTGCTTCATTTCGTTAAGTTTGGATTTTGTATGTTCACTGTTTAGTTGGGAAAAACTTGAACTTCAAAGTTGTTGCTAGAAGAATAGGATACATGCCCATATGGTATATGCTTAGTGTTTTGTATTTTGGCCGCCCACTGAGCAGTGTATTCCTTTTGGTTGTTGATTATGATATATCACACTTCAAGAATCATGATATACATGGTATGATTACGATGACTCTTGTCATATCTAGTTTAGACAAATTATCAACACTTTCAGCATGTGACAGGTGGTGCACTGCCATCAGATCTGCCATGGATGAAGTCTCAGGAGCAACCTTCTTGTTATGCTACCATTGCACATACCAACAATGCCATTACATATCTATCAACCTTTTTCACATTTTGGAACTTTTACCTAGGTGCATCAAATCACATACGTAGAACAATGATAACATTCTATCTCTGTTTATATACTTGCAAGTTAAAATATCCAATATGTAAAAGTTAACTTTGCATAGTAGTTGTTGAGTTACTTTCTACCCTTTTTATTGAGTCTTTTATCTTGGAACTAATTGCGAGTTTTCACTTATGGGTATTAGTGCATGGTTCTTGTTTTACTCATATTTGGTTGAGGGTGGCGTTTAAATATGCATAACTCCATTAGTTATCTTTTCTAGAGAATCCAAGAAAATTGTGGCACCGAGTAGTATGAGTTAACCTATTCCCACACTCCTCAATTGAAAGGTATTGCTCGACCACAAAATGGACACTATGTTGGTGTAGCCATTATCATGCCGATGATATAGTGTTATCATTGTTTTCTAGGGTAACAATTTTGCCAATTTTATGATTATTTGTATATGTCTTTTGTTCTTTGTAAGGGAAAAAATCATTCTATGGCTTGATCTTATGAACTTGATGATAAAATTATTGCATCTATGTTAGCAATTCTAGCTCACAAAAGGGTGATGTTTTAGTCCTAGAATTAGCAAGATACTATTAGTATATCATCTAGTATGCTAGGGTTTTGGTTAGGCTATCGGTGTTGCTCATGAACTATAATGACTTCATATACTACTCAGACTTCGAGCTTACCCTAGGAGAAAAAGACACAATGATATGGTCCATGAAGCTACTTTGTAGGTACATTTATTATTTCATCCTTTGGTATGTTTTCTACAACCTTTTACTCGCATTTGCATATGGTGCATTTTTTCTTTATCTTAGATGTTCATATGTTTTTATTATAACTAAATGCTTTTGTCTTAGTGGCCAATGGTTATAGTATGCATTGTAGTACTAAGATGCTGATTCATCCCTAATAGACGAGTGCCTGTGACCTTTTATTATAAGAGAAAGCATGACAAGTACATTATTCTCATTTTCTATGTTGACAATATTTTAGATGATTCCGATAGGCGACTTGCTTAGAAATTTTCTTTGAGTTCTAGATGAAAAATTCTCAAAACCTCACATCCTTGAAAATTGGTTAAACTCCGCAAGGGGGTCATCATGTGCAAAGTTAATCACCTCACAATTTAAAGTGTTATTGTCTTGTCGGGAAGTGTATTCTCTTGTAGTAGTCACTATGAACTACAGATGTTGTGGTACCTAAGTGGAGCCTAAGGGCGGGACATCTTATATACACATCATGGGCATACTTGAGTTACTGGTTGGGTAGATGGGTGTCATGTGGGATGTCTAGCTCGCATAAGGTTCATAAATGGGTACCATTGGGGTTTACTCTTTACCCTAGGAAAACTAGAAGAATGTTGTTTTTTTCTTTTCTTAAGTCAAGTTTTAATTCCGAATTATGTCACAGACAACTTGTAAGTTGATATGGTTATGTTATTTGGTACAAGAGTTTGGTCATTCTACATTTTGTATGAGAGATGTGTAATGAGGTAACTATGCATAGCTACATGAATCATATATTTCATAAACATGCCAAGACATTGACTGATTGACGTGGATCCGCATTTTCTTAATGAAAAAGTGGTTGATACTTCTAGGAACGTAGTAACGCTAGTTCCATTGAGCCAGGATCAGATTGCAACATCTTGACGAAGTCCGTTTTTCTCACATATATGCTATGGGATTAGGCTGTTTCTTATTTTTTCTATTAACCAATATCTGGATAGGCCATCTGTCTTGTAAAAGATCAATTGCTGTTTGATTGTGTGCTGAATAAACAGTTCGAATGACATTACTGATCAATTTACCTATATTATTAGTGAACGACTGCCAAAATTATTAGAATGTGGTAGAGCATGAATCAGTATTTCCATAAATAAAGAATAAATTCTATACACAGAGTGAATCATATTCTTCATCACTTGGATACTCGCCGTCTGGAACCATGTGGATCTGGACCTCCTAATAACTCTTCCAACTATAATTATTAGTACAAACGGGAACTCCAAAAAGACTTGGGATTATCAGCCAAATCATTACCTATTGTTCTTCAAATACAAACACATAGATTATGAAACCTTGTTGCAAATGAGTACATATTCCATACATTGCCACTAAAGAAATTTGCTTACTAAATTTAGCCATCATTTTATTCAATAAGCTGTAAACAAACACTGCTTAATGGCTGAGCGGATAAGCCATTCAACTCATTAAGAAAAAAAAAGACAGGCTCATATCGTCTCTGTTCTGCATTAGTGCTTTTAGGGTTTTGTACTATTGTGGGCCGGGTGGCCACCTTATACTTTTCATATCTGCATTGGTTTATTGATATGTACTTTTAGATGCTGCTCTATTCAGTTATCAGCCCTGCCTCAAAATAATTACTTCTTTTGCATACTTTTCTATACTGTTACCAAAAGTGGTTCCTTATTTTTTTAATTAAAAACGTTGAGTCAGTCAAGTTAAGTTGGAGAATATTTCGCTTCTTTTGGATAATCGATAATGGACTTTTCTCCTTCTGCTATAGTTTCTAAAGTATGTTTAGAGAAGCCTGATGAGGAAATAGTTGATTCCCAACAGCTAAAGCTACTTAGACTGAAATTGGAAGGGATTGGAATAGCCTGTGGATCTTGTACACCTGGCCAGACATATGGCTTGCTCTGCCCCATGGTATGCATAAACGTTGCTTTTCTCTTGGATACTTTGGTTGCTTGTTTTCTACAAACATGATAACGGTACACTTAAACTTCTAGCCTATCATTTGGAAATCTTAGCGCTGCACATAGCACAAGTGTAGTCTTCTGTTGAATATCAGGAACGGTTTTTGTGCTGCCTAAAATGAAAAAAGACATCATTAATGTTTGGGATAGTACTTCGTCTCAAGAACAGAGGGGTTATTTGAAACTGGACCATTTTTGGCACTTGATCAAGTGATTAGTGCACTACTGATCCACTTCCCTCTAAACAACCTCTTTACTCTTGTGGGTAGGTCAGGTCTGCCTACATCCCACTCTCCCTAGATCCATTCTACTGCTGGGATATACGGGGCGCGTTTGGTTTATATTGTAATTCCTCAAGTCTTTTAGGTTCCTCAGATTTTATTCGGTTATTCCTTTTTTGATACTTCCTTTTCCAGCCCTCTTTTCTTTCTTTATTTGGAGAAAATTTAAAGGATATTTTTTCTCCTCCAACAGTGCAAAGGTGGTGAATCTGGTGAGAAGAAACTCTCTCTCTTCGTTGCTGAGGATGGGTAAGTTGCCTCATATTCTTGGAATTACTTTCTTATTCATATCTAATAACATGGGATTTGTTAAAATGTTGTAGTAATGCAGCTGTGTGGACTTGTTTTCGAGCCAAGTGTGGATGGAAAGGCAGTACACGGGTAACACTTCTCATTTTGTACCACTTGGTCTCATTTGAGTATTACGTTGTCTCTAATTGTCTAATGGTGTGGCAGGCTTTCGCAGATGTTAAGTCAAGTTACAACACGATGAGGAAACTTCCCAGAGTGAAAAGAATTAAGGAAATTGCAGAGAAAGATTTGAAGTTAGAACCTTTGTGCCACGATGTAAAATTTTCTAACCTATTCACTTATTTATTTTGAAGGTGGATTACACAAAGTACCGTATATATAAAGAAAAGGACAAAAAGCAAGGGGACTTGGGCCCGGGTAGCACAAATGACAAAGGACACTTTTAACCCCGTGTTTTTCTTGTTATAAGAAGTCATATTGACTGCTATTATGACGTAGTGGTTGGTTTTGAATCTTTTGATGATTGCTAAACGAAGTGGTGAAGCAACTAATTAGGAATGCACATATTAAGAACATTATTAAAGGAATGACAGGTATAAACCTTAACGTAGTTGGGTAGTACGCTTGGAACAAGAAGGTTCGTCGTACAATCTCGGCGATTACAAAAGTAAAGGAGTATATCCCTCTACCTTAGTGTCTTTCCATTTCCGTCTTTCAGAAACAAACACTTCGCCTAATTCTTTTGAATTTCGGCCTTGGCCGCCCTACCTAAATCAATCGTCATATCGTTTGGGATGGTTTGCTACATTTGTTTCATCATTCTAGTGTTGCTGCATATCTTCTAAGATATATGTAACTTTGAGGATGTAGTTTTCTGTTTGATATTATCTAATTTCTGTGATTCAGTTACTTGAATATTTTTCCGAAAGAATGATATCTGAAGAGACATTAAGGAGAAACTCCGTCATGCAAAGACGCTATGAGAATCAGGTACAGAACATACCTGCCTTCTCCAAGTGGATTTAACTTAGGGGCCGTTTACCTAAATGCTTACCCGGTARGCACTTACCGCTAGGAGTCAACACTATAATTTATTTTACCGGGTAAGATTGTAGAACATCAAAATGGTATCATATGCAAGAATTTACCCGGTAAGCACTTACCTGGGTAAGAGTCGTCACCCTCACTTACCGAGTAAGACTCTCCATCTTCATCACTGCTTTTACCGGGTCAGATTTTTGACCCTTGCCATGTTCATCCGGTAAGAAAAATTACCCGGTAAGCACTTCCCAGGTAAGCGTTTGGTAAACGGCCCCTTATACAGCTACTTGAGGAGAAAATCAAGTCGGTTTAATCTGTTTGTAATTTCTTGCTCAATGTCATGTTGGCAGATTGTTATTGCATTTACTTATAGACGAAAGGGAGAACTTGTTAGTTGCAAATATCGAGATCTCGAAAAAAAGTTTTGGCAGGTCCTCTTTCTCTCTCTCATCTGTTGCTTCTACATCTATTTAGCAAAATTTAGTGGCTATGGTACATATTTTATGTTTGGAGATATTCTGCTATACATATATACTTGTAAGATTAAAGATGTCGCACTTTCAGAAAAGTTTATGATGGTTTTGCTCATACTCTGTAGGAAAGTGATACTGAGAAAATATTATACGGACTCGATGATATAGAAGGCGAAAGTGATATCATCATTGTAATATTTTCATCTTGAAATACATTTATTTACAAGTGTGGCTCACTTACCGTAGACTTGTTTTCTTTTCCTGTACTTAATTCTTATTCTTTCATAACAGGTTGAGGGTGAAATGGACAAGCTTGCAATGGAAGAAGCTGGTTTTCGTAACTGTGTGAGTGTCCCTGACGGTGCTCCTTCAAAGGTTTCCTCTAAAGAGTTACCATCTCATGAACAGGTTCCATTTTAATTCAACTTTCAATTCTATAATTTTTGGCTTTTTCTTGCTTGATTTTTGTCACTGTGCTAAGCCCTCGGTAATCTTTAATCCATAAAAGTATTTTGTTAATGTAGGACACAAAATACCAATATTTATGGAACTGCAAGGAGTATTTAGAAAAGGTAAGTTTAAACTACTTTCTATTCTTTGTTTTTCTACCTCTTCCAAAATGTAAGTCAGCATGATTGTTCATATCTTGAAGGCGTCACGCATAATACTTGCCACTGATGGGGATCAACCTGGTCAAGCCTTAGCCGAAGAGCTTGCACGCCGCCTTGGTAGAGAAAGGTTGGGACGTTGGATTTATTTGTTAGTGCTGGTATAGTTTCTGGTTTCTGGTTTTCAACACCGTCAAGTTTTTTTCATTATTGCTTAAACAGGTGCTGGCGAGTCACATGGCCAAGCAAAAATGAAACGGAGCATTTTAAAGATGCTAATGAGGTTTGACGCATGTAGACTGTAGTTTTTTTCAGTTTTTTTTTTCAATTATACATTTATAAAACTTCATACAGTAACTTTATAAAACGGATGTTCTTACATTTCATAATAGTCTCATATTTGTTGGCCAAATAATTGAAATATGTAATTGTTCTGTAACTTCCTTGCTTAATCATTGCCTTTTGAGGAACTAGAGACAAACTAGTTAATTGGTATAAATTTTTAATCACTTGTTGCAATGGCTGAACCAGAAGCTCTTTTGCCAGGTTCTCATGTTCATGGGTCCTGCTGTCTTGAGGGAAGTTATTCAGACTGCCGAATTGTACCCCATCAAAGGTTTATTCAACTTTAGAGATTACTTCAGTGAAATTGATGCATATTATCATCAGACCCTTGGTAGTGAGCTTGGAATTTCAACTGGATGGAAGGCTATGGATGATTTATATAATGTATGTTTACTTATCCTCTATAGAGCTACAGCTTGCTATAACTATGCCACCTTTCCTTCTCTGTATATTTCAGATTAGATTTCTTTTATGTTTAATACATGTGGGTATTTGCTGCTTTTTTATTTAATAATGTGGTGGATGCACTATGATGTGAGTTGTATTTTCTTCTTTGAGGACTGGCATTGATCAGACTTTAGTCAGCATTTTTGGCAGTTACCTAATGTACACGTATGCCTATTTTGGAGAATAGGGACTATATTCATTTCTTCTTCTATATTTGCACGTAAGCTCATTAACTTTGCAGAAACAAACTTCCAACCATAAGAGTTTGCTTAATTGTCCACTGATCTCCAAACTGTTGAAACAACTTGGGCAGACTCAAAAAAAGCCCCAGAACTATTAAACTACTTATCATGCTCTTTTCATGCGCTTTAGTCTATTTCTTGACTCTTTTTTACTTAATCCTTTCTTAGGTTTTCTGGTCTATCCTATAACCTTTCTATGTCTGGTTCACTTGTTATGTTTTTATCATGACTCACATGCCATTGCACAACATACCATGTACATATCAAATACAAACACATAAGCATGCATACAATTTTGGTATATTATATTTGTACTACCAGTTCTACACTCACTTATCAACATGTAAGACACATGTGAGCATGCACCCAACTGACACTAACTACAAATTCATTCGAAGAAAACTCGAGTCTCGGTTTCAAATGCTCTACAGTAGGGAAGGAACTTTCCATCGGTTTTCTGCATTTCCTTAATTTATCAGATACAATCTGTCACTTGTCCAATAGTCTATCAAGTGTTTGGTTCCTGAAAAGTGCTGTGAGTGGAGCATAAATGATTGAGCAATTGAACGCTTTTGCAAGTGTATTAATTGTAAAAATACTCGGCAATGGTTGATTATTTAATACAGTGGGAACATTCAGCACATGTCTGACTGTTACAGAACTGGGATGTTGGGACTGTTGGCTATTCTGAAAAGATATGTTTATAGGAAGATACTGAGCATATGATATAATTATGATAATCTGTGGTCAGGCACAATTGAATCGATAATCCAACATGTTGTAGACGTTCACAAAAGAAGTGTTAGGATTGCTTGAATGTGCTATTGTAACAACTATGATGTTACTTCTAACCAGGTTGTGCCAGGAGAGTTGACTGTAGTCACCGGAGTTCCCAATTCAGGAAAGAGCGAGTGGATTGATGCGTTGTTATGCAATCTTAATGAAAGTGTTGGTTGGAAGTTTGCACTATGCTCTATGGAGAACAAGGTATTCCGGTTTCTCAAGTGCGTTATTAATAATTCTTTGTGCTTTCTAATGTCCATTTTATACAATCATTTGCATGCCCTTTTGGAAGTACGCAATATTTATATACAGCAAATTAAACTCACCCACTTCTCACCTTTGGTGAGACTTGAACCCCTTACCGTTGGCCAATGACGCTTTGGTGCCTTCTTGACTACATAATCAGAATATGTAGTTTATATTATGGTTGATGGTTTTACCTTTTATATGTCTTATTGAAACAACCCACCAAACACGAAACAGTACGAATTCTCAAAATTTTTTTCATACAATATCATATTCTCCATACTAAAGTTATACAATATTCCAAAGTATGATTACATGACAAATGAGAGTATGGATTAACAAAAACTTTATCAGTTATAACACTTTTATTCTCAATAACACTTTACATTTTTCCCTTGCTTTTATTCTGAGATGATGGACGACCTGCAAAACAAATTAGTACAATAATTGAGCATTAGACCAAAAGGTCTAGTGAGTGAATTACCCTTTCACAAAACACAACTTACTATTTATAACCCAAGATAGTTCAAATCTGGATCTTCATTACATCTATCGCGATTACACCGCCAGTTCATCTATCGCGGTTACACCGCCATTTAGATAGAATTCACTTCCGGAAGTGATTACTGTGTAATACATAGTCCTATCCGGACAATACTATGTTCGTAGAGGAGGTTACCGGTTAAGCTTGATTTTATCCGGACAACACTATGTTCTTAGAAGAGGTTCCCGGACAAGACTTCATTCTTTTCCGAACATTAAACTGCCCGGTGAAGGGTTATCGGACAATACTACAACATAGGGTCATGTCCTGGACGTTGCCTTGTCTGATGATTGTTCTTATCCGGACATTATTCTGCTTGATGAGGGGTTTTATCCGGACAACACTATAACCGGTGAGAATTTCTATCCGGATACTGCTTTAGCCGATGAGGGTACATATGCGGACACTGCTTTGGCCGGTGAGGGTACATATCCGGACACTGCTTTGGCCGGTGAGGGTACATATCCGGACATTGCTTTGGCCGGGGAGGAGCCTCATCGGACAGACTTTGTCTGATGAGCTCTGTTCTTGAGATATTTATCAAGCGATGAAGTAGCAGTGATCATATACAGTTTTAATCTTACATCATAAAAATATGACAACTAGATATACTGAAAGCAGTATGGAACTCACCTTTGCCTTTAAAATCAACTTTGAAATTTACTTCTACTCTTTGATCACCTAAGCTTCTTGAAAGAAAATTATAGATCTTCCAAAATCAGTAAACTTTTCCCCATTCACAGATACTTGCTATTTAAAGCAAGTGTATAGCCGACCTAAAAAGGGGGGGTGCTTACCATGCAACCCTCCCCACTATCATCTTCCTCACACACACACACACACACATATATATATATATATATTCGTATATATATATATATATATATATATATATAATTACACTACTCAAACACGATTATAAAGAAAGAATCATAGATCGATTCCCCTCCAATCCTTGAATGCCAAACACTTACTTCCCATTACCAAATTACTTTAATACCCGATCAACTGCATACTGAAACAGAACATTACAACATTCCCTCCTTAGAAGAATTCCGTCCCGGAATTCCACTAAGTAAACAAATGAGGATATTTTATCCACATCTCTGTCTCTGATTCCCAGGTGCCTTCCGGTTCTTTATGATAACGCCACTGAACTTTCACTAACCCGATCTCTTTATTCTGCAATTTCTTTACCTTGAAGTCAATAATGGCTTCAGGGGTCTCTTCAAACATAATCTCTCATCAATCTCAATTTCTGGTAGAGGTACTGCTACGTTTGGATTTACTAAACACTTCCTCAAATTTGATACATGAAAAGTGTTATGAATACCACTTTAACTCCAATGCAAGTTCTAGTTTGTATGCCACCTCCCCAATTCTTTCAATGATAGGAAATGATCCAATATACCTTGGGCTCAACTTTCCTTTATTTCCAAAACGTACTACCCCCTTCCACGGTGATACCTTTAACATTACTCTATTTCGAATTTGGAATTCAATCGACTTTCGACGTTTATCTGCATAACTTCTTTGCCGATCTTGGGCCGCTTTCATTCGTTCTCGGATTTGACAAATTTTATCTGCTGTTTGCTGCACTAACTCACGCCCAGCCAACTGTTTCTCACCTATCTCATTCCAACACAAAAGGGTTCGACATTTTTGTCCATATAGAACCTCAAAAGATGCGGCTTGAATACTCGAATGATAACTGTTATTGTTGTAGGAGAATTCGATTAACGTAAATGGTTATCCCACGATCCCCCAAAATCAATAACACAGGCTCGAAGCATATCTTCTAGTGTCTGGATAGTTCATTCATTTTGTTCATCTGTTTGAGGATGATAAGCTGTACTTAACTTAATTTGTGAACCCATATCTCTTTGAAAACTCTTCCAAAACATAGACGTGAATCGATTGTCTCGATCAGAAATTATTGATAATGGAACACCATGACGTGTTACTATCTAATCAATATACAATTTTGTAAACCGGTCCATTGAGTATGCTTCTTTCATTGGTAGAAAATGAGCAGACTTGGATAAGCGATCCACAATAACCCATATGGCATCATAATCTCTCGGTGTTCTTGGCGATTTGGTATGAAATCCATAGTAACGTGATCCCATTTCCAGATCAATATTTCTAAAGACTGCAACTTACCATACGGACGTTGGTGTCCTATCTTCACTTGTAAACATGTCATACACTGCTCAACATGTTTGGCTATATCTTTCTTCATGCCCGGCCACCAATAATATTGTTTCATGTCCCGATACATTTTGTTCGTACCCGGATGGATAACAAAACGTGATTGGTGAGCTTCACTTAGAATACGTTTTCTGAGATCACCATAACATGGTACTCAAGTTCTGTTTTGGAAGCTCTATAATCCCCTATCATTCTTTTCCAATTCAGATACCATTCCACTCGGTCTTTCTTGTTTAATCTTACTCTCTTTCATAGCTTTATATTGAAATTTTTGCAGTACTTCATGAATTCTTGGTAGTAACTCAGCTCTTAAGGCTATAGCTTTGATGATACCACTTTTCTCTTGATGGCTTAAAGCATAAGCTACCACATTCGCCTTTCCCGGATGATACAATATCTCACAATCATAATCACTAACCAATTCTAACAATCGTCTTTGGCACATGTTCAAATCTTTCTTATGGAACAAATGCTGTAGACTCTTATGATCTGTGAAAATATGACATTTCGTTCCATATAAGTAATGTCTCTAAATCTTTAAAGCGAACACTACAGCTGCTAATTCATATCATGCGTAGGATACTGTTTTTCATGATCCTTTATCTATACTATCTTATTAAACAAATTTAGCAAAAGTCTTAAAGTCTTAAAATTCTAAATGACTAAAATACCCTTTATACTCACTTTTTCACTTTTTCACCCCCCTCTCCTCACATACACTCACCCCTCACATACGCTCACCCTCTCACGACCGATTTTTTCAAAATTATAATTTTAAATTTACACTTTATACCCTATAATTAATTAATTAATTTACTTTACGTCCTTTACTTTTAAATGTTTCATTTTAAACATTTATCAAATTAACATACATAATCGTATATCAATTAAAACATGGTTAAAAAATACATTTTTACTTTAACAAGTTAAACCATTATAATCGTCTCGTTAATACATTCGAAATGAGTCCAATATTGAATAGTTTTTGACTTAATTGTATTATTATATATTATATATACTGTGCAAAAATATTTTTAATATTTACGATTTATACTTTTATAGTTATTTATTTTTATATATACTATATATTTTGGGGTTAGGCTGTCCAAATTGCACTGTATAATATGTTTTGAATTAATATGTTATTGGGTTTTTTTTGAAATATATATATATATATATATATATACACATGTATTAATTCAACCTTAATCTGAGTTTCTGGATAAGAAAGAGGGTAAGCAGTTGAAATTTCATTCTAAAACCCATATTTTTTGTCTTTTCATGGCTTATGATCTGTTAAAATTGTAGTTTTCTTTATTGGTTATGATCTGTCAAAATTGTAGTTTTCTTTATTGGTTTTGAGTGTTTATCTTAAAACTCAATTTTTTTGGTTCTTTGCTCTTGGTGTAAATCAAATACATTTGTGGAGTCGTTTAAATATGTTGGATTTTAAATATATTGGATTTTAAACTGTCATACAATTGTTTTCATCGATAGTCTGTAATTGGAACCATAACTCTTATTTATTCAAACTGTATTAATATGTAAAGACCAAGTGTAACCTATATCATCGTTAAATCTTATCTTATAAAACCAGTGGAACTTCAAAATCGTTAAAATTCATGGCTCCCGCCGCATTGCACGGGTACACAACTAGTTTGCCTTGAAGCATAAACAATTACCTTCCCACGTTGCATCAACATGCAACCCAAACCCAGTTTCGAGGCGTCACTATAAACCACAAAATCTTCCGTTCCATCTGGCAAGGATAGAATTGGTGCGCTATATAATTTATCTTTTAATGTTTGAAAAGCCTGAGCTTGATCCTCTTCCCATTCAAACCTTACATTCTTCTTTGTCAACTTGGTTAATGGAGTAGCTATACGAGAGAAATCATGTATAAACTTGCGATAATACCCTGCTAACCCAAGAAAACTTCTAATTTCTGTTGGTGTTTTCGGCGATTCCCACCTCTCAATGGCTTCAATTTTAAGTGGATCCACCTTGATGCCTAATTCCGAAATAATATGGCCCAAAAACTGAACCTCCCGCATCCATAACTCACATTTTGACATCTTAGCATATAACTTTTCTTGTTTCAATAATTCCAGAAGTAGTCGTAAATGGTGAGCATGCTCTTCCACTGATCGAGAGTATATCAGAATATCATCAAGAAAGACAATCACAAATTTATCGAGATACGGGCGACATACTCTATTCATCATATCTATAAATGCTGCAGGTGCATTTGTAAGTCCAAATGGCATAACCAAAAATTCACAGTGTCCACGACGAGTATGGAATGCCGTTTTCGACACATCTTCGGCCCGAATCTTCAACTGATGATGACCAGATTGTAAATCAATTTTAGAAAAGTAAGTAGCCTCAATTAATTGATCAAAGAAATCATCAATTCTTGGAAGAGGATACTTATTTTTTATTGTTAACTTAATTGATCAAACAAATCAGTTGCTACAGTATCCCCTTTCCTTTTATCACCAACCCTTTTTTGTGGTTGGCGATTGATATCCTGTTCCAGGATATTACATATTTCTGGAAATTCGACTCCAAACTCCAAATATACTTCCTAATTTTACTGCTTTCGGTTGTGATATATGCTTCAGCAAACTGAGACTGTTCCATAAAAACCTCCGCATACTGACGAACCGTCATGTTACCCTGTTCCAAACGAAGAAAATCGTCCTCTAGATTTCGCACAACAGCTTCAAGACTATTAAATTTTAAATTTTACCACAAATTCCTCCCACAACATGGTCTTTAAAATATTCAGATCCGAACTCGACAGAATCTCCCACCAATATAGTGCACTTGACCGCAACCTGGATACAACAAACATTACTTTATCTTCTTATGTTCTTTTACTGGTCTGCAGACTTAATTCAATTTCTTTAAGCCAACACATGGCTTTTACGGGATAACGTTCCTCGGAAACTTAGGAGGCTTACAAGCAAGGAACATCTTGATATAACCTCCTTTTTGTACTGACGATGAAGTAGGTGGTGCGGACGTAGTCGTTACCGGTGTACTGGCTCCGGCTTCTTCCTGAAAATTTGGATTCCTTACTCCTTCCGGGTTATTTTGTGCAGAACGTCCCAACAAGTTTACCAGATTTTCCTGAAATTTTCCCAGTTTAGCTGCCAACATTTCCTGGGTAATAAAACTAGCGTCATGAGCACGATCATTACCCCTTGCTCTGCCCCGTCCATGACCTGACATAGAACTTTCTTGTGCTGATAATTCTTGTTCTGTATGGGCTTCTTGTTGAATATTTCTTCCCCTTCCTCGTCCCTGACTTTGACCTCGTGTTTCAATAGTCATAGCATTCTCTGGATCTTCTTCTCTATTTACCATTCCTCTTCCCTGATCTCATCCATGGCCAGTAGAAGTCCTTCCAGATCGATTGAGATTATCTGCCATTCTTTCCTAGTACTTGTATTACTTTAACGTTCTTACTGCCACAATAAACACATACAATTAATCACATACCAAAGTATGATAACATGTGTACCCATAGATCAAGTGTCTGTAACTCAAGATCACATTTATCATGCTTATCATCATAATAGGTTCAATCATAACACATTCCCAGGTCCATAATCCCAGTGGACCTATTATCACATACTCCACATCTCTAGTTTAAGTCTAAGTATTAAGTTAATACCCATATCCCTTAAACTAAGGCTCTGATACCAACTGAAATAACCCACCAAACACGAAACAATACGAATTTACAAAATTTTTATCATACAATACCATATTCTCCATACTAAAGTTATACAATATTCCAAAGTATGGTTACATGACAAATGAGAGTATAGATTAACAAAAACTTTATCGCTTATAACACGTTTCTTCTCAATAACACTTCTTTACATTTTCCCTTGCCTTTATTCTGAGATGATGGACGACCTGCAAAACAGATTAGTACAATAATTGAGCGTTAGACCAGAAGGTCTAGTGAGTGAATTACCCTTTCACAAAACACAACTTACTATTTAAAACCCAAGATAGTTCAAATTTGGATCTTCATTACATCTATCGCGGTTACACTGCCGGTTCATCTATCGCGGTTACACCGCTATTCGATCTATCGTGGTTACACCGCCATTTAGATAGAATTCACTTCCTGAAGTGATTACTGTGTAATACATAGTCCTTTCTGGACAATACTATGTCCGGGGAGGAGGTTACCGGTCAAGCTTGATCTTATCCGGACAACACTATGTCTGGAGAAGAGGTTACCGGACAAGATTTCATTCTTTTCCAAACATTAAACTGCCCGGTGAAGGGTTATATCTGACAATACTACAACATAGGGTCATGTCCGGACGTTGCCTTATCCAATGATTGTTCTTATCCGGACATTATTCTGCTCGATGAGGGGTATTATCCGGACAACACTATAACCGGTGAGAAGTTCTATCTGGACACTGCTTTGGTCGGTGAGGGTACATATCCGGACACTGCTTTGGTCGGGGAGGAGCCTCATCGGACAAGCTTTGTCCGATGAGCTCTATTCTTGAGATATTTATCAGGCGATGAAGTAGCAGTGATCATATACAGTTTTAATCTGATTAAAACAACACAAACCAGTACTAGATTGAATTACATCATAAAAATATGATAACTAGATATACTGAAAGCAGTATGGAACTCACCTTTGCCTTTAAAATCAGCTTTGAAATTTACTTCTACTCTTTGATCACCTAAGCTTCTTGAAAGAAAATTATAGATCTTCCGAAGTGAACTTTTCCCTATTCACAAATACTTGCTATTTAAAGCAAGTGTATAGCCGACCTAAAAAGGGGGGTGCTTACCATGCAACCCTCCCCACTATCATCTTCCCACACATACACACACACACACACACACACACATATATATATATATATATATAGGGGGGGGGGAAGAGCAAATGTTAACCAACAATTTTGTGTTAACTTTGAAAACCATGACAACCAATCAAATTCCATTCTTCTTGTAGGTTTATGTCATGTTCACATTTTAATTACAAGGGTATTTCAGTAAATTGATTTGATATGTAACTCCCAAACAATTAATGGGGAGTTACAAATCATCAAATCCCAAAAAATAYDCATTTATAATATTAATATTTTTATTTTTTTTAATCTTGATCTTCCACGTTTATTGTTTTATCAGTTTTTAATTCGCATAGAAAACACGGTAGTAAATTTTTTTGGTATCAATCAAGCTAATATGGATAAACGCAATGGAATATAAATCGACAACAGTGAGAAGATTAAAATGGTTTATGATGACAATCGGAGTTCGAGGTCGGAAATTGAAGAAATTAACCAAAGCGAATGTCTTGGTAATAGATTTTTATTTTTTTTTAGATTCGTTTTAATCGAAATTATGTTCATTACGATGTGTTGTGTTTTTTATAATTCATCTTGTATTGATAGCTTTTTTTTAATTACTAAAATACGTAGCTAAATCACATGTTCAAATGGAAGTACATGCACGACCCATTTTCATATTGTCATATTACCGACTTTTATGAATCATGAACCATTGTGTTCATGTTACGTCTATCTGAACACAAATGTTATTTTTTAAGCTTGATACCAAATCTTTATATTTGTGTAAGTGTTTGCACCCGGTGTTCATAGTGTTTGGGTTATGTGTTCATATATTTTATACGATATGAACAAGGGGTGAACACGATATGAACAAGGGGTGAACAACCATATAAGATCAGAAACATATATGAACAAGGGGTGAACAACCATATAAGATCAGAAACATATATGAACAAGGGGTGAACCTTAAATGGTGTGGATGCAATGCATGTATAAAACTCCAATTGACAAAGGATCGCTCCTGAATGTGTTTATAATGAAGGAACTATTGTTCACAATCTGTTCATATCGTGTTCATATATGTTTTTTTACTTATTTCCTTTCGTATAACAGTTTTTCTTATTATGTTCATATTGTGTTCATATTGTGTTTATAAATGCTATGCAGTCCAAGTTCATATATATGTCAAATTTTTGTTCGCATTTGACACAATGGTTCATATATATATAGTTGTGTTCATATGGTTCTTACATTAACAAAAATAAATTAACAAAAAAATATAGAATTTTTTATATTGTAACTCCCAATTAATTAATGATATGGGAGTTACATAATTTTTTTTACCTAAATACCCTTTTCAACTTTGTTCACTTATCTTTATGAAATTTTAAATTAAAAATAATAAGTTTTTATCATGATTAATCACAATCGTTTATTGAAAGATTGAATGGCCAAGATCGGTTAACAAAGTTAACACAAAAACTTTGTTTAACATTTGAACCTGACCCTATATATATATATATATATATATATATATATATAATTACACTACTCAAACACGATTGTAAAGAAAAAATCATAGATCGATTCCCCTCCAATCCTTGAATGCCAAACACTAACCCCGAACTTCCCATTACCAAATTACTTTAATACCCGATCAACTGGATACTGAAACCGAACATTACACTTATACCATATGGACTTTTCCCTCATACATCTACAATTCCCATGAAGCATCGATATGGACATGGTATGTGGATACAAGTTACAACATCAAGAACTGATATAATCTTCGATATCGTACTCGCAAATTTTGTTGGAATTGAACATATGAAAACATTTAATAATATATTATATGTAAATGAGCTTTTAACCTTCAAGTTGGGAACATGTAATAACCTTCAAGTAGTCGGATAAATGATTGCAAGTTACAACATCAAGAAATGATATAATCTTCGATATCGTACTCGTAAATTTTGTTGGAATTGAACATATGAAAACATTTAATAATCTATTATATGCTAATGAGAGCTTTTAACCTTAAAGTTGGGAACATTTAATAACCTTCAAGTAGTCGGATACATGATCACGCATTTTCCCCGGTGTTTGTCTGACATTGATATTGCTTTTGTGTTCATGTTTTTGCTTCTTATTTAATATTTACTTCTTTTTTTGATAGCTTCATGCACTTATCTTTCCTTTCCTTGAAATGAGATTTACTTTCCTTATTTTTAAAGAATTAGTCATGAGATGATGCATGCATAAATATATGAATAAATATAATAGTTGCACATATAGATTACTGATAAGTGGTTGCTTTATGTTTCTCTACCTTTAGGTTAGGGAGCATGCAAGGAAACTTCTCGAAAAGCGCTTGAAGAAGCCATTCTTTGATGTGAGGTTAGCTCAGTTCAGACTGTTCTATAATCAAAGTAGTTTGTTTCCGTTCTTAAAGTAGTTTTGTACTTGCTTATTCAAGGTTCTCATCTCTGTGTTGCAACATTCTTTGAGCCTTTAGATCAAGTCCTGGTACATATCTATGAAAAATCACATCTGCTGGCAGCCACACCTAGCTGTAGGCTGACAAATGGTGTTTTATGTTTGTTCCATTTTGTTTTGCTATGTATGCTGCCTGCACAATCGAGAGTTAATTGATGTTAAATCAAGTGCTGGACTGAAAAGATTAATCCCAGAAGAAAGTTGAGGATGAAACAATGAACCGAAAACGGAAATTGTGAAGTTACTGACTTAAGGAATGAAAATAGGAGATAGTTAAAGAATAAACTACTCTAATCCATAAAGAAATTGATCGACCAAGATTAAAGGGAAAGAGAACACTAATCCACCAAGATCAAAGATGTCTAGGGTTATGTTTGGTGCTCGGGACATGACGAAACATGACAAAACAAAAACCTGTTGTCCTACCTTTGACTCGACATCAGACTGGGACTAGATGGGACTGAGTGGGACAAAATGTATTATTTTTGACCCACCAAAATACGTGGAACAAAAATTAGGGAGATGAGACAAGATTGTTAAATTGCTAAACTGCCATGTCAAATTAAAACCCTAAAACCTTCCACAATTCTTACACCTGTGACCTACCTACCTCACCTATCCAGTCCTGTTTTGTCTACTCCTGTGCGGTCCCACCCGTGTGCCAAACACACCCTAAAGGATTTGAATCTGAGATCTTGTTGTGGAAATTCCAACCTGTTTCCGTTGGGACAATTTTGTATATCAAGCCTTAATTTCCTCTTAATCTAAAATCTCTTGTCAGTTTTGAATCCTTAACTTGTCTTAAATGACCACAAATGATCTAATGGCCTCCCTAATTTTTGATGAGAGGGAATATTTATGAAGTTTCATCAGTTGGTGTTTTTTTGCTTATATATATGTATATATTATTTCGTTCTTTTCATGTTTGGACACATTTCTCGTACTTTGTGTTTGATATCATGGTGTATCCCAGGTATGGGAAATCTGTTGAAAGAATGAGTCCGGAAGATTTGGAGGCAGGAAAGCAATGGCTGAGTGACACTTTTCATCTCATACGGTGTGTTCCAAAATAGAGCATTGGTTGTTATTTCTTTGTTAGTTCCAAATCATATGGTTAAAATTTTAGAAGACGATTTGTTGCTCATCTTAGTTATTCTGTATGTCATTGAAATTTAAAAAGTAGCATGAGTTCTTTGTACTTTTTTATGCTAAACGTTAAAGGTGGAATAGGTGCGAGAATGATTGCCTACCAAGTATCACTTGGGTCCTTGATCTTGCAAAAGCTGCGGTTCTTAGACATGGGGTGAACGGACTCGTGATTGATCCATACAATGAGCTTGATCACCAGCGGCCTTCGAACCAGTGAGTATATATATATACCATGCACCCCCAATGTATTAATCCCCCCGTCCCAAAAAATAAGTGTCCACATTTCTGTTTCAGTTTCTCTCAAAATAAGTGTCCACTTTCGAAATTAAGTGCTTACTTTCCAATTATACCCCTAATTATGAGACGAAAAAAATTAATTACTCCATTATTAAGGGTAAAATTGTCATTTTAGTTAAAAAGTGTGAAAATTACACATTTCTAAAACTATGTGTCTTTTTCATTGTAGACATTTATTTTGGGATGCATGAAGTACTCTTTTTATGATGTTTGAAAATTTGTTCTAAGACTTGAATGCACAACAGGACTGAAACAGAGTATGTTAGTCAGATGCTGACGAGCGTGAAGCGATTTGCCCAACACCATTCATGCCATGTTTGGTTTGTGGCGCATCCTAAACAGGTTAGCAAAACAGTGAATCTTTTTTTTACATGGTGAGGCCATTGGTCTAACTTCCGAATTCTGTTCAACAGTTGCAGCAATGGACCGGTAAACCTCCAAATCTATACGACATTAGTGGAAGTGCACACTTCATAAACAAATGTGATAATGGAATTATTATTCATCGAAATAGGGATCCAGAAGCAGGCGCAATGGATCTAGTGCAGGTACTGTGATTCTCATCAATTATGCACTATTCTTTGCAGACATGACCAAATCAAACCAAATATGCATTATGCTTATCCTGTTTCTCTTAAATTCTTTCAAGATCTGTGTGCGGAAGGTGCGGAATAAAGTTTCGGGAACGATAGGTGATGCGTTCTTGACATATAATAGGTATGTTACTTCTAATAATTCTTAACCAAATACAAGATATACTTGCATTTAAATTGGTATTAGGGTTTATATTTTGGCCTGTTGTCCTCTCTACTTATATATTGATTATATATAGCCTTACTATTTGAGAACCTCTTTTCGTATGATGTTGAAGCTATGGCTTCATGTAGAAACCCCATCCCCATAAATCAACCATCAAAGAAGCTGTTGATCATGTCCTTCTGATATGTTGTGTCATCTTGCTCATTGTATCTGAGATGATTTCTGCTTTGTTTGACTGTTGTCAGTTTGACTTTGACCATTGCTTTTGGAACCTGCCGTTTTGTGCCCTTTCTGTTGACTTCAGTTGACTGTAAAACCATATTAAACCAAACAAGCCCATAATATCTGTGTGTGTGTGTTTGTGGGGGAGGGGGGGGGGGGGGTTGAGATGTATGCACACTTAACCTCCACCGCAAAGATTAGAGCAGTTGTGTTCATGAAGACCCTTGGCTTGAGCATAGTGTGGAAAAAAGCATTCGAAAAAGGAACTTGAGAACAAGATAAGCAGTCCTGAAATTTGAAATTTGGCTCCACAAACTGCAATGTGGATAGACAGTCTAGTGAAACCGCTGCCACCATTTGAATCATATCTGACTTTTCACAGCCGGGGGTCTTTATATGAACATTTGCTCTACTTTTTGGGACAGATGTCAGGTCTGTGTACATCTTATCCTCTCCAAACTCCACATCTGAATAGGATATATTGGGCTCTTTTTGTTTGGTTTGATTTGGTTTGTTGTCCCAGTGGATAGATTCTTCATGGTAAATACCTATTTACACTCTATTGAAGCTTCAAGACCTTGTTTTTCTTCTGTTTCAGATCTTTAAGAGCCTCCTATAGGAACTTTATCTTATGTAGTTGAGAGTCTAGAAAGGATAATATGCTCTTAAAAATGTGACTGACCTGAAAAGTTTTGAAGATCTTTAACAGTGGTCACAATATACCAAAATAACTTTAAGAGGTGTTTGCCCCTCAAAATACCATTTGAAAACACAGGATGTTATACACGTTACACTCATAAGAATTCCTGCTTTCTTACACTAGGACAATTTTATCGACACTTTTCACTTTTTGGATCCTTTGGGACAGATGTCAGGTCTACGTATTGCAGGATCCCACCTTCCGGTGGGATATAGTGGACTCATTCGGAGTTTATTTGATGTTTATGAATTTTGAATCAGTGCCCAAAATAAGGAAAGCTTTTTATGAAACAATTCACTCTTTGATTGTATGATGGAAGTTTCTTGAATATGATATCTTGGTAAGGAAAAATAGAATAAAAATTTGTTGAATTTATTGGTGCAGAGTAACCGGTGAATATTTGGACATCAAGCCAAAGGATTTGAAGTGAAGGGCTTCTCTTCTTTTTTCTTCTCATTTATCTTTTTTGATTACTTTTCTGTATTATGTTTCAACATTGTAACCAAATTAATCTGATGATGCAAATTGATATCTTATTTATGTATAAATCTTGATTGCATCTGCATTTCTATCTGTAAACATATGTTTCTTGATAGGATCATATCGACTTTGCCTACATCATTGCTGAAAACCCCCCGAACCGAACGAACCCATATAACCAATTTTAATACTTGATTTTTTCTAAATTCTTATAACTTTTGCTCCTTTATTTTATAAAAGATCTGGTATTAACCGATTTTGTGTAAATTACAAATTTCATTCTTGTGGGTTGATGTTGATTACAATGAGGGTCCCTGAACACTGAAACTCATAGAGGGGACCTTGTGGTTTCACTCTTTGTTACGGAGGAGGTCTTTGAAGCTAACTTTCGTTAAAAAAACATCGTTATGGTTCCACCAACATCACTGACCTCTTCACCCTTCATCTTCTTCATCTCGTCCTCCCCCATCTTCAGGTGTCTACGGTAACCAAACCTCGAACATACCTCTCCTTTTTCCAGCAACCCCTCTTCCTCCTTGTTCAAGCAATGGTTGCAGATTTGAACCAAATCAAATTGATTTATCCATACTTGCGTTTTGAAAACTTTTGTAAACCATTATACATGGTTCTAACATAAAAAAACTTTAATGAAAAAAAGGAGCATGAACAGTTTGGGTTTGATATAGATTTTTAGGTGGCTTTTGGTATTCATTTGATGGGTTTTGGTTTAATGGTTTAGGTTTAGTTTTGGGTTAATTTGGTAGGTACAGGTGTTTTTTTGGGTGTATGTGTGTGAGATTTGTAATTAGGGATGTAAACGAACCGAACGTTCAACGAACTGTTCGTGAATCGTTCGGCGGGAAGTTCGTTTATGTTCGTTTATTTAATAAATGAACGAACATGAACAATTTTTTTTGTTCGTTTAGTTAAACGAACGAACATGAACAAGAGTCTCGTTYGTTYATTTATGTTTGTGAACGTTCGTTCATTTACCGTTCGTTTACGTTCGTTTATGTTCGTTTATATATTAAATTTAATATATAATCTTTTATTTATTTACTTTGAATTCAAATAATATTTATTTATGTTCGTTTAGCCCGTTCGTTTATGTTCGTTTAGCTMGTTCGTTTATGTTCGTTCGTTTACGTTCGTTTAGCATGTTAACGAACGAACATAAATGAACACGAACACACCTTATTTCTAAACGAACGTACATGAACACACAGATTTTCGTTTGTTTATCGTTCGTGTTCGTTCGGTTAAGTTAAACGAACGAACATGAACAAGCCTCCGTTCGTATTCGTTCGGTTCATTTACAGCCCTATTTGTAACGGTCGGAGAAGATGAATGGAAAGGAGTATTAGAGAAGATGACTGATGTTTATTGAAAATGAAAAAGGTTGGTATGAGTGGAGACACGTGACATAAATTAATTGGATGGTTGATAAATCTCTCTCTCTCTCTATATATATAAAAGGAAAACCCAATAGGTATTGAGGTCACATCATGATAATTGAGTATTAAGATGTTGATGAATTGTGGTTGAGTTTGAGGCATCTTACATTGGTGAAAAATTGAAATATTGGGATAAAGATTGTGTGTATAAGAAAGAAGATGAGATTCATTGTGTCAACTTAAAGGACTTGACTCATAAGATTATCTAATTTTTATATTTATATAATAAGATTTTTTTTTTCAAAATAGGACCATCCAAATTAGATAATCTATATACACACACGCACACACATATACATAGGTGAAGGTTCAAACGAGAGCCTTGGTGATTTACGAGAATGCGAGAACAACTCAATAATCACAAACTTTTTTAATTAATAAATTAACCTATATTAAATATAAATAAATTAATAAGGTCAGTAATGTAATTAAGTAATTTTTATTTTATTATAATTAATTATAATTATCTTTTTTTTTTATGGATTGATCACGTTCGTTTCCACTCTTTTCTTGTGATAATTGTGTGATTGTGTAACCATAACCTATCGAAACCATGATCAATCTAGTGTAATCATAACCTATTGAAACCATGAGTAATCGTTGTGATAAATGTGTGTTTGTCTAACCCTAACTGATCGAAACCATGATCAAATTGAGTGCGCAAGTGATGTTATAATAGTGATATAACATGATTATCACACCCATATCACACCAAATCATTGTGATAAATGCGTGATTTTCTAATCCTAACCTATCAAAACCATGACTAATCGTTGTGATAAATGTGTGATTGTCTAACCCTGACCGATCGAAACCATGATCAAATCGAGTACATTGTTATGATAGTGATATCACATAATTATCACACCGATATCACACCCACTCTCTTCTTTTCCCTTGTGATAATTGTGTGATTGTGTAACCATAACCTATCAAAACCATGATCAATCGAGTGTAACTATAACCTATCGAAACCATGAGTAATCGTTATGATAAATGTGTGATTGTCTAACCCTAACCGATCGAAACCATGAACAAATTGAGTGCGCAAGTGATGTTATAATAATGATATCACATGATTATCACATCCATATCACACCAAATCGTTTAGTGGATTTCGCTCGTAATCGTTGTGATAAATATGTGATTGTCTAATCCTAACCGATCGAAACCATGATCAAATTGAGTGCACTGTTATGATAGTGATATCACATGATTATCACACACATATCACACCATGATCAAAACAATAACTGTTGAATTAAGTGGATAACTCTAATTTCCATGATTATAATATGATCGTGTTTAAAATTGTATGATTTTGATTTCCGTTATTACTCTTTCGAATCTCTTTTTTTTTAATCGTTTTAAATTTCAATTTTAATTTAAAAAATCTTTTAGTTTTAATTGTTACCGCAATATGGGGTTAATAAGTTATTCTTGCATTCTTGTAAATCACAGGAGTTCTCGTTTGAACCTTTTCTTATATATTTATATATATGTAATAAGAAAAGTACTAAGAGGTATTGAGGTGATAACATGGAAATTGAGTATTTAAATGTTGGTGAAAGGGTAAAAGATTATATAGACTAAAAGAAAACCCAAGAGATATTGATGTGACATTAAGATAATTGAGTATTGAGGTATTGGTGAATTGTGGTTGAGTTTGAGACATCTCATATTGATGAAAAATTGAAAGATTGGAAAATGATGTGTGTATAAGAAAAAAATGAGATTCATTGTGTCAACTTAATGGCTTGACTCATAAGATTATCTTATTTGGATGACCCTATTTTTACAAAACAAATCTTATTATATAAAAATAAAAATGAATTGTGTTTATAATCTCTCTCACACACACACACACACACATATATATATATATGTAGATATATATATAATAAAAGAAGTACCAAGAGGCATGAGGTGAAAACATAGGAATTGAGTATTTAGATGTTGGTGAAAGGATAAAAGATTATATATATTAAAGAAAAACACACGAGGTATTGAGGTAACACTATGTATATTATATATTATATATTATATATATATATATATATTTATATCTTTATATATATAAAAAAAACATTTAGGGTATTGATGTGACACAATGAGAATTAAGTATTTCTAAATGGTGAATTGTGATTAAGTTTTTATCGTCCCACATTGGTTAGAAGTTGAAAGATTTTTACACAAAGTGATGTGTACAAAAAAAAGGTGGATTGGAAGTATTCTCAAATGGTAAATTGTGGTTTAATTTTAGTTGTCCTACATTGGTGAGAAGTTGAAAAATTTGAAGAAAGTGATGTGTATAAGAAATGTGGATTGAATGTCTTTGTGTCAGTTCATGAGGTTTGATGCATATGATTGTCTTATTTTGGATGACTCTCTTTGAAATCAATAAACATGGTTGATACTAAAACGAACCAAAGGGTAAAACTGTTATACAATATTTTAGTTGATGAAGAAAAAACAAAAGAACGAACAAGGTTGATTAGGAGTCGAGGCCTGTGTTTAACACAATATCCATAAAACAAATTCGTCCCATTATGAACGTTTGTTTCCCAGGTTACAACGACAAGAACGGTTCTTCGAGACCGTGGAACCTAAGAAGGCTTGAAAATTACCTTGACAGTAGGTAGTTAACACAGAAGTAAGAAGAAGAAGAGGGATAATGAATTTCGGTGTCTTTTCTGGTTGGAGGAGTGTCTTATTTATACAACTACTTTCGTAACCGATAGGCTGAAATTAATACGGTCTTAATGGTGAAATAAAAACCGAAAAATGGTATTGATTTAGGCTTTAATTATGCATTAGAAACCGAAATCCCCATAAATATATCAGTTACGAAAAAGAAAAAAATTAGCAAAATGTGTCTAAACCTTTTCTAGTCGACCAATGGTGCATTCGTGTTCGCAGGACGCGTGCTCGCACACAAGTTCAGTTAACCGAAGCCATTTTTGGTTCACATTTGCACCCCCATTGCACGTGCAAGAGAGAGCCTTGGTCCTATAAGTCTTATGTTGGTTCCGTTAGGGTCTACAAGATGTGTATAAACAGTTTGTAGAAGGGGGGGGGGGATGAATACAAACACAGTAAACTTTTCTAATTTAATATATATATATATATATAATATATATATATTAATAAAGAATGATCAATACAGATTTTACAAGATTGTTTGCGGAAAAGATAAGGTAAAGATAACTTATCTAAACAATCTAAGTTACACACAAGTTCTTCGCAAAGAGAAATGATTTGCTGTTTAAAACTGAAGAAAGTAAGTTCTTTCTGGGTAAGAACTATTTAGAATACTTAAAAAGGGATTCTAACTTGCTTTTGAAGATAAGCGTATTGTGTTCTTAGATGTGTGCTCTTTCACATATGAACGTAAGCATTAGGGTTCAAGAGTAAGAGAGTATCTCTGCATGGAGATAGAACACATCTATTTATACCCATTACATTAAATGCACATTTAATGCAATACATTACGCGTCAAGCCTTTATAGAAAGACTTGTCCTTTGCTACAGTGAATAGTACGAAAGCCTATTTATGAGCAGACATCCTTTCATGGAGTTGGTGGGTAGTAGAGTCAACTAATCGGCTCCGTACCGTACTATACTCTAGAAAGGGTATGAGTTTGTCCTTTGAGTGTGGAAGGAGAAGACAAAATCAATCTTG